GTGCCCCGAGAGTCTGTCCTCCTCCAACTGAAAGAGACCAAGAGAGCGGAGGGAAAAGGGGCGTCAGGCACAGACTCACTCGACAGCTCCGTCTCGGGGCCGCCCACCGCGCACAGCCCCCCCGGCGTCCCGGGCAGGGTGGAGGGGGTGCAGACCCGCTGCTCCCCACCTCGGAACCTAGCCTCCTGCGCCCATCCCGTCACCTCCTCCTCCTCCTCGGGCGCGCCTCAGCCCTGGGGCCCTTCACTCACCTCCTCCAGGAAGCCTGCCTAGCTTGGGCTCAGTCCAGCCTAGCTTGGTGGCTCTGGGCCCAGGGCGGCGTTCTGCCCCCGTCCTTGGCCCTGGGTGAGCAGATGTGTGGGGCGGGCTCCCCTGCAGGTCTAGAGAAGACCCACAGCCTTGGGGCCAACACCGGGCCAACACTGGGGCCTGCCTGCCCCACCCCCTTAGACCTGGGGGACCCTGAAGAACTGACAAGACCCCTCTGTCTGGGAGAAAGAAGCCAGCCGTGAGGACCCCACGGGGCACTTCTGCTCTGCCCTATATAGGGCTGCCGATGGGTCTGGGCCTCGGCTTCTTTATATGTGAGCGGGTGTGGGCGTGGCACCCCCCTCATCGGGCTGGTGTGAAGACCTGATGTCACCGTGTGCCTGCCACCTCGGTGGGTCGATGCACACACTGTTGTGACCGGCTCAGCAGCCCCCTGGGAGGGGAAGAATGAACCGGTGGGGTTTCCCCAGCTGGAATCCAGGCTTCTCTCCCAGGGGGCTGCAGTGGGTTCCAGCTGCCCGCCTTTTCCGGTTAACAGCCGAAGCGCCTGGCTGTTCAGCACCCGGCCCCCTCGCACACGTCAGCCATTACATTGCCAACTGGCCTTTGGTCGCCCCAGGGAAGGTTAGACCAGGAGGCGGCCTGGGCATGGCCAAGGGGCTGTCTTCTGCCGAGAAGAACATGGCCTGGTACCCTCTGCCCTGGAGTTAAGTGGGAGGGGGTCATGGGAGGTGGGGTGGCGGCTTGAGAGCCAGCAACCCTTTCCCTTCTGCTCGAGGGACTGAGGCCAGGTTAACTGGCTTAGTGGGGCAGTGAGGCCTGGCTGAGCCAGCTGCAGGCCCCCCC